CCTTATGGCAGGGATAATAGTTACTGACAAAAAGGAAGTATGAAAGTTTTACTATCACTGAGTCTCTAGGACTTTTTATTGGGTTTAGTGATGCACTTTTAAATAAAACATGCTGCTTCTGGATTAACACCTCTACTAAAGTACAGAAAAATCTACAGGTATTTAAATATCAGATCAAAATCATTAACAAGCTCAGGAAAAATGCAGACTTCAGTCCTGTGTGGCTATAATCCCTCTTGAATGAATTCTAGTCTTCTTTATGGAATTGGTTAAATGCTGTATTAACGCCTCTCTTGCTTGTATGTCTTGTATTAATATTTGAAAACTGTATACTCAGTACTGTAATTCAAATTGTTTCTTGTCACCTAGAAACAATCAAACTCCAAATGATGCTACAAACTGGACCATGAGTGGACAGTCCTGTTTCCGAGAACCCTTAGATTGACCCCAGGAGGAGCCCCAGCTGGTGTTTCCCATTTGATGCCCCTTTCAGCAGAAAGCAGCCAGGAAAAGTCGTCACCCAAAAACTCCCTAACAGTAGTTAGGTTGATATCTCCACAGGGGGTAAATGTGATAGGAGTTATTAAGAAATTCTTTTAGACAGAGAGGAAAAAAAAAGTTGGTTTTTTTTTTCAGAAAGTTTTTCTTTTTATTTTTTGAGACAGAGTTTCACTCTTGTTGCCCAAGCTGCAATGCAATGGTGTGATCTCGGTTCACTGCAACCTCTGCCTCCTGGATTCAGGCCATTCTCCTATCTCAGCCTCCCGAGTAGCTGGGATTACCAATACCCGCCACCACGCCCTGCTAATTTTTGTATTTTTATTAGGGATGGGGTTTCACCATATTGGCCAGTCTGGTCTTGAACTTCTGACCTCAGGCGATCTGCCTGCCTCGGCCTCCCAAAGTGCTGGGATTACAGGTGTAAGCCACCCGGCCTGGCCAAGAAACTATTTTAGGCAGATAGAGAGGAAGAGGTGTCCTTGGAAAGTTTTTGTTTCTTTTAAAGCAGCTCCAGATATATTTCTTGTCTAGAAGGAAAGACCCTACCCTTAGAGCCAGGTGGGCAACATTTGATATGCAAATACAGGCCATTAGAAACTGGTTCTACCCAACATGTTGATTCCCATCCTTGTCCTCTTGCCCTTACTCCACATGTGCCTGGCAACAGGACCCCACATAGAACATCATGGTGCCCTGCATTTGCATATAGAGTGGGAAGGCCAGTTTTTTCACCAGCTGGGTAAATGACATGTCTAGTGAAACAAATATGTTAAGCCCTATGCAAATCAGGCACCACATCCTCCAGGCTCTACATATACCTGGCTGGTTTCTGCCCCACTTGAGGTCTCCTCTCTCAGCTCTGGAGTTGCTCTCCTTCCATCTCTGTACAGGGGAGCTTCTTCCTTCTTTCTTCTCCCTCCTGTCTTGCCTATTAAACTCTGCACTCCTTGAAACCACTCCACATGTGCCCCTGTCATTTTATCCAACTCGATGCGAGGCAAAGGACCTGGTGTTCCTCCACACATCAGAGCCTTATCAGAAGGGGCTGGACACTAACTGCTCTCTGAAGCTATTCCTAGTCCTAACATTCTTTGTTTTGTTTGTTTTTTTAGCTTGCTTAAGTGTGTAAAGTTTATGATGCTTAAATAAAATTTTCTGTCTTATTACAATGAGAAAGGAATAAAATACCTTATTTTCCAAATCTACTTAGAGAATATCGTTTGTAATATACTTGGGTTTTAAAAGCCTTCGAAAGCCAAGAGGAAACAAAATACTTTCCATTCCTTCTGAGAAATGCACTTCTTTCTGTACCTGAGTGTTTTCACAATTCCTGTGTTGGTGTGTAACGCCATAGAAATGCTCTGGATGGTAACAGTTAAGAGAATCAGACACAGCTAAATATAAAGGTCAGTTGGCAGGTGCTTAGCAGGTGTAAATAGAGGCCCATTCATGCTGCTACACCTGCTCCTGAAAAGCATACCTTAAGTACAGTATGCTAATTAGGAGGCAAAGAACCATCTAACATAAAATTTTAAAAGAGTTGGCCACAGTTTAATGATATCCCCGCACAACAACCTCCACCCACACTGCCCTTCATAAGGTCCTTAAAGGAGATCACATAGTTCTAAACCTGTCCACAAACACACATATCCTCCATTCTCTCCTTTTCTCCTCTTAGGCAGTTTGACAAAATCTTTAGGGGCAGTTGGAGAAAACACTAGTGTTTAATCTCCTACTTCATTTTTACCCCTGTTAAGGCCTCAGGAAGTTCATTGTCCATACCCTCCATTTGAACTCAGTCACTAAAATTATCTCAAGGCTAAGGGATAGACCACAGGTCCACTTCACAAGTAAGCCTGCAACACCTGATTTAGGAAAGTTTGCTGTGCAGACAGTTGTAGCTCATCCCTTTTACAGAGAGATCTGGATTTGTTTCCTCGGGTCTGCAATTATTTAAATCAAAATCTCTAAGAACTTTCTGGGCATTTAGTAAATTCATGCTGGGGGAGAACTGGCAGAGACATGTTAAATGCACTTGACCACAAGAACCATTTATTTCATCCAATATTTACCAGCTATTCATTGTGCACCTATTACAGATTTTGGCATTGTAGATATAAGAAAACTCTATCCCTGACTCATGAAAATTATCCAAAAAGTAGGGAACCAGTCTCAGAACCACTCGAAGGCTCAGTTGATTCAAATAAAAACAAGTTTTAAATATTTAATGTGGAAGTTTTCCAGTATGTTAATAATGGCTTAATTAACCCAAGGGATACAAATTTTACTGATTAGAAGAAAGTTTCAATAAAATACCAGTCTTTGAATCTAATCTGACACCTGAAACTAGGAGATCAAACACTATTGTTCCCTATATATTTTATAATAAAACTTCTCATGAGAAAAAAAAGACATCTTTCTTCAAAGCCTGAAAATAGATGGAGAATTTTTAATATTTATTATTGCAAAGAACAATAAATATGCACTCTCACAAATGAGTACTGGCACTGAGCCACAGAACATGTCTGTCATATCACTCTTTCACACCATACATTAACAGAAGTAATAATTTACCCTCATTGGGTTCCCTATTTACTATCTCTTCAATTATACCTCTTTTACTTGCAGTCACGGAGTGTCTGAATTTTATAATCCAAGATACTAAGATGTTGATTTGACATACCACCACACTTAGTGTCTTATAATCTCTGCCAAGAATTTTAAAATTTTTGTTGGTCTGACAGGAAGAGGAAATTCCATGGTTTGGTGAACCCAGAGAGTCTTCAGTATATCTTGGTTACAGAACTGTGTTAAATACATTTAAACTCTATAATTCTATAAGACCCATTTTAGGTGTATACACTGAGCATCCAGTTCCTCATCCTCCTCTCTCTCATATGTTAACCCTGGGTAATACAAGTTCTACTCCCGTAATTCTATGAACAAAACAACCCTTGATACTTAGGTTTGATTTTTTAAATAAATTTACTTTACCTTATTCTAAATGTAACATAAGGTCAACATAGAAAGCAGAAAACTGAAAAGCACAAGGAAAGTGAAATATCTATAATCTTTTCAACCATTGTTAATTTTGTTGCATTCCTAGCTGCTATACACACACACACACACGCACACACACACACACACACACACATATATATATATCAATATAGTACATTTTTTAAATAAAAGAAATGCCAAAAGGTACATGCCAATTCGGACTCTGCTTTTTCCACTGACAATTTTATCATAGTTTCTCATATTTGGTATTCTTTTGCAATACTTGCTGCATAGAATTCCATCACACAAAGGTAACTACCAGAAATTCCTTATTACTTTGCTAGACACTTAGGGTTTACATTTTTTCCAAAATTATAAATCTTTGATCACAGCTCTGATGATTTCTCTGGGAACTGACAGCCTAACAGAAGTCAAGTCCACTTTAAGACTTTTAACTTGCTGAAAAGTTATGTTAAAACCAGAGTGCTGGTCCCCCTGCAACACATTCACTCACATTGGCTGACGTTTTAATTCTCTAGAGGAAGAAATGTCAATTCTTTCCAGTCACATCTCTTTTTTCCCCTTTTCCCAGTCACACTGGTTTACTCACAACTCTACAGATCAATCCTGCTCATTCTTAATTTTCCAGCATTGTTCCTGAGACTGTTTCACAAAAATAGAAAGTTCTCCCCCTTATCCACTTGACCTAACAATTTCCACCCATCCCAATCCTCCTGCATTTATTGCTTCCAGGAATTTGGCACTTAGGACACCCTTGTCCTTACATTGTTCATGCATGTGTATTTCGTCTTCAATAAAACATTTAGTCGCTCAAGGACAAGGGCCCCATAGAGTCCCAATATGCCAAAGGCCTGGTGTCGCTTAATAATTTAGATTCCAACGGGGGACCTCTCCAGGGAGGAGAGCAAAGAGCAAATTGCCTTAGGGGCTGGAAGTGCAGGAGCCAAACCTTTCAGACTGAAAACAAGAGGGCAAGAGACGATTCAGTAGCAGGCATTCAAGCAAGAAAAACTCAAATATTGTTCCTAATAATGTCTAATGGCAAATACCTTGTAAGGGCCCAGGCAGTCCGGACAGCCTGCAGTGCCCCAGGATGAAACCAACCCTGAGCGGTGTTGGCCCAGAGTGATGCCCACCCTGGCCTCTGGATCTCTATTTTTAGGTCGAAGGGCTTTATTCTTGAATCCTGAGTTCCCGGAAACAGTACTACGGCAGCTTAGTTTTCTTTCCACCCTACCTGGGTCACAAGCATGGCGGTGACCCAGCCCTTCCTCGCAGACCGCCTAAGGTTTCCAGAACCGTGGGCCCAGGGTTTAGTAAGAAAAGAGGCGGGTCCTGGGGAGCCTGCAGGGTTAGGCCCCGCCATGGCCACGCCCCAACTCCAGGAGGCCAACGGGCTGCCCCTGAGCGCCAAGGTCCCGCCCAGCGGGCCGCCGATTGGCCCCACCGCCCCTGTGCCTCTACTCACTTCCGCCTCGGGCGCGGCTCAGGCCACGCCCACCCGCTGTGCGGCGGTGGGCACTTTGTGAGTTTGGGGATTATTGCGTCCCGCAAGCGGACTCAGAAGGGACTTCCCTGCTCGGCAGGCTCCCAGTTTCTCGGCTCACCTCCGGATAAATTGCGGCGTCTTTCGCGACGCGCATGGCTCCTCCCAGCCGCCGCGAGTGTCCCTTTCCTTCCCGGCGTTTTCCTGGGTTATTTCTGGCGGCCCTGGCGTTGCTGCTGTCCTCCCGCTCTGGTAGGATCCCGGGGCGGGTTCGCGCGTCAGCGGTGAAGCTGGAACTCTGCTGGATCAGCTGGGCAGGAGGCGCGGGGCGGGCTGACCGTAGGTCCTGCCTGCTTGGGGTAGAGGGCGAGGCCAGGGTTCTCCGAGGGGCGCTGTGCGCAGATCTCTGGGGTGTGTGGCGGAGGATGCGGGGACCACTTAGAGCCCGAGGTGAAGCTTGTTTGCTGGAGTGATATGCGCAGCCCGCATTTACTGAGGATCTGGCTGCGCCCCCAGCAAAAGCGTGCACCGTGTTTTCGGGATTGAGTCCAGTCGGCAAGGGGAGCGCTGACTGGGTGCCCCTGGTAAGGGCTTGCTTTGGAGTGCATGGGAGTGTTGCTAGGGCCCGTGCTGTGCAGGTGGTGAGGGTTTAACCTGTGTTCCCTGGGCGGAGCGGTTGGTGCCTTGGTGAACTGGGTGTTCCTTAGCGCTTCGGCGGTATCCGCGAAAAGTGCAGCAGTGCGTCCGTCCGCTGTGCCCCATGGGCTGGGCTGGCATGGGCTGTGCTGGGCGAACAGGAGCCTGGCCTGGTGGTGTTGGGAGCGTGCTGTGTGCAAGTGGCCTGCCCTTCAGAGTTCACGGTGGACAAGGCAGCTCACTGTTTGCTTTGAATGGAGTGAGCGTGGACTCTGGGGCTGGGGGGGCATGCTGGGTGAGAGCAGGTCCTCAGTGCCTGGAGTTAGAGAGGGTGGTAAGGGCGCACCATGCGTTTTGTGCCTTCTGTGAACAGTCTCCGTGGTGCCCGAGATCCCATTGGTCTTGATTTTTAACTAGCTGCTTTTTTGGGACTTGGGTGGGTCATGAAGTCATCTTCCTGTTCCCAACCAATATAGACACTATCTGATTCCGTTACCTAATGGCTTTTTGACATCGTTTTCCTTCTTTTCATTACTTTGAGTCATATTTGAGAGATGTGAAGAAACATAAAAAACACTGGTAACCAAACCTATTGAGAAATTAGTATCCTAACAAAGGAAAGGAAATTATGTTAATCTAGTTTTCCCCTACAGCTCATAAACTAAAGCTGAAGCCCATCCCACTAAATTTGTTTTGTATTTCATTGAATAGAATAATACTATTAAAAATGCATACTAGGCCAGGCTCAGTGGCTCATGCCTGTGATCCCAGCACTTTGGGAGGCCCAAGTTGGGTGATTGCTTGAGCCCAGGAGTTGGGCAAGCAAAACCCCATGTCTACCAAAAATACAAAAATTAGATGGGCATGGTGGTGTATGCCTGTGGTCCCAGCTACTCTGGAGGCTGAGGTGAGAGGATCGCTTGAGCTTAGGAGCTGAAGACTGCAGTGAGCCGTGATCATGCCACTGCGCTCCAGCCTGGGTGACAGAGTGAGACCCTATCTAGAAAAAAAAGAAAAGAAATACATGCTTATTGAACAAAACGAACAGAATCAAAGGACAACTATTTTTAACATTTTGGACTATTTCCTTCTGACTTTATATGCACTTCAGGTCTATGTCCAAAATTATAGTTAGGATCCTATTATGTGTACAGTTTGTACGTTGCGTTTCTTTCCTTAAGAACATTCATTCAACGAATATCAGTCTTGAATGTCTGGTGCTATTACACTGGGAGGCAATCACAATCCGTTCCTATTTTCTTGATCCTTTTTTCACTATTTGTTTACACACATGTACATGCAGGAAGATAAGCAGGGACTTTGTTTTGCTCACTGCTACAAGCTCAGTGCTGGGAACACAGTAAATAATAAGTATTTGCTAAAATGTATTGGGAGTGGCAGACATTAACTAAACGTAATAGTAACAAATACATTATGAACCAAGGGAAATGCTCTGGAGAAAGGGAGAATAATTTTCTGACAGCATTTAACAAATGGACTAGAGGCAGGGAAGGCTTTTCTGCTCATCAAACAGACAAAACTCTGCCTCTTTGGGGCATCTGTGCTTGCTGTTCTCAGCCCTGGCACATTCTCCTCCTGAACTGCTGCATAAACGGGCTCTTTTCTTCTGCAAACTCAGCTAGTATGTTACCCCCTCAGAGACCTTCTGTGACCCCTCGTCTCAGGTTGAACACATACAACCCAGTTCAAGTCCCTCTTCACTTGTAATCACCCTTTTAAAATGACCTTTTCTATTCTTTGTCTCTCCCCATCAGAATGCAGGGATCTTCTGTCTTGTCACATTTGTGGTTCCAAAAGCCCAATTTGTTTGCCTCCATATCAATACTGACTCAGTATCTATATAGACATCTGTTAAATACCAGAAAATTAAATATACTATTTGGCTGGGGCCTAGAGCCTAGGAAAAAGTTCCTCCTGCCTCCAGGAAGAAGGTTCTTTAAAGAGCTATGCTCAGGGTGGTCTTTCTGTGGTACCTAAAAAGCCAGGGCAGGGGCAGCTGAGGGCCAGAAAGGAGCTGCGTCCCCTGTTTGTGTTGACTGTAGGGCTTCCAGTACTCAAGTCTTGCATCTCAGTGATCATTAAAACGTTCATTTTGAAGGAGGGTGATGGGAGGAGGGAGCAGTGGTGATAAGAAGAAAATGAAAGGCCTTTTATTTTCTTTTAAGATTAGTGTTTAGAACAGACAGTACTAGGAGTTCAGGCTGGGCAACATAAGGAGATACCACCTCTACAAAAAATGTAAAAAAAAAAAAAAAAAAAAAAAAAAGCCATGTGTGGTGTTCATTGCCTGCCTGTAGTCCCAGCTACTTGGGAGGCTGAGTGAGGAGGATCACTGGAGCTCCCACGGTCAAGGCTGCAAGTCAAGGCTGCAGTGAGCCCTGATGGTACCGCTGCACTCTAGCTTGGGTGACAGAGCGAGACCCTGTTTCCAGGAAAAAAAGAAAAGGAAAAAACGCATACACACAAAAACGAAACTGGAAGTTGAAGAAGATAATGAAAGTGATTTGAAACAGAGAAACATAGAAAAATAAAATAGGGTGCAACATGGAAGATAACCTTGTTTTTCCTTCTCTTCATTCTTAGTTTTGTTAAGTTTGAGGTTGGTAAGGTTAAATCAAAACAAGTATGAAACCTAGAGAAAGTAAAAATGAGAACTCATGATGCCAGGCAGGGAGAATACATGGATTAAAATAAACATTCAATTTTTGGAGCAACTCACTCTCACAAGGAGAAGGTTTCATAAGCAGACAATGCTGCGTGTCGGATACCTGCTCTCTCAAAGGTAGTTGCCAAAGGGTTCAAGACAGCAGAAGGAAACACATATCAAATTTCAGGCCAGTCTGATTCCTCCAGAAGAGAAGCTGCTTTTTTGGACAAAACCCCCAGTCTCCTGTTGTGCGTGGTCTCTTCTCTCTGTTTTAGATGTTTTCCTTATTTCCAGTGGAAGAAGCCAAGATCAGTAAGTGCTTAAGAGTAGCGTCTTAGTTTCCTTACTCAGCATACTACAATGCAAAGAGAGCAGTCCTTATCTGATCACCTGCCAGGATACCAAAAGACCGAGAGAGATAGGCAACACAAGAAATGGCTAAATCTTCTTTCTCCATTGTGCGGTAGAATGATTATTTTCAATATGAAATTGTTACACTATATTCTTCACATTGTTTTGTGTTTGACAGCAGTGGACTTTGAGTACCAAATTTTTTTTTAATAGCTACTATGAGGGACATATTGTGCTGGGTGTTGTGGTCACGTGGATGAAAGGAGTCAGCCATGTTAACTATTAAACACAAAAGCAGGTGATAGTTACCTGAGAGATCCATGCAGGGGATTTCTCCTGTTAAGTGCATCTCTCCACCGTCCAGGGGAAGGTGACTGATCAATGCTTTGTAGGGGGAGGCAGAAAACGCTTTCTGGAGGAGACGATGGGTGGATTAAGGAAGACAAGACTTGAGCAAGAGTCGTAGCTACTGATCAGGAAGGAAGGGTATTCAGAGCAGAGGAAGCAATGTGAGCAAAGGACCAAGATGTGACACCAGTGGCCTGCCAAGCTACTCAGTGTGGCAGAGTAGGGCAAAGGAGGCAAGAAAGAAGGGAGAGGACTAAATCACAGGGTGAGTGATTCTGAAAAGCAACAGGCTCTTCAGGAATAAATAATCACCATCATAAATTCAGACTTTCATGTTATTTCCTGTCCTTTTAGGGCAGCTTGAGTCTTTTGTTTGACTTAGCACAACATGAATCCAAACTTGGGTTGTTTTCATTTCCGCAGGCACAGTAGCAGCAGTTTCTTGAGTACCTAACTGGAGATAGAATTTGACAGTGTCAGCATTTTTTGAGCACCCGCAGAGTGGGTAGAGTGTAGTAGAAAAAGAAGAACATGGTCCTTGACCCCCAGGAACGTGCCTTCTAAGAGAAGACAGCCTGAAGTGACAAGCTGTCAGAAGTCAGTGTTTTAAACTATGGAAGAACAATCTGAGTAGAGTGCTATGGTACTGAAGAAGACTTCTTAGTGGAGAAGTTAGTTTTGAAATGAATTTAGAATAATATGGGGAAAGATGCATCCACATATATTTTAAGACCAAAAACATTAATGCTCTTTCTTCAAGTTTACTGTGGAATGTTTATTTCCAAAAAAAACAAAAGCTAATAGCATGTTATTTAAAACATGCCAGTTCCATTTCCTTCTTCATTACCAACACTCCTGTAAACGCATGGAACAAACATTTGAAATCTTGCCAACAGCTTTTTTTTTCCCCTTGAGATGAAGTCTGGCTCTTGTGGCTTAGGCTGGAGTGCCACGGCTGGATCTCGGCTCATTGCAACCTCCACCTCCTGGGTTTCAAGCAATTCTCCTGCCTCAGCCTCCTGAGTAGCTGGGATTACAGGCATGCACCACCACACCCATCCAATTTTTGTATTTTTTGTAGAGACCGGGTTTCTCCACGTTGGTCAGGTTGGTCTTGAAATCTCGATCTCAGGTGATCCGCCTGCCTTGAAATCCCAAAGTGTTGGGATTACAGGCGTGAGCCACCACGCCTGACCTGCCGACAGCCTTTCTATTTTTTGTATACCACCTGCTGCCAGACCACAGTACACGGCTGGTTAAAGTGATACGATCTTCATGTTGTTATTCTCTTATTCCTAGATGCATGTGGGCCGCCACCAACATTTGTAGCTATGGAGCTCACTAGCAGACCAAAACCCTATTATAAGGTTGGGGAACAAGTGGAATATGACTGTAAGAAAGGATACCACCACTTTGCTCCTTTCCTCACCCATACTGTTTGTGATCGGAATCACACATGGCTACCGATCTCAGATGCGCCCTGTGTTAGTAAGTAAACAAGGCTTTTTTTTTTTTTTTTTTTTTTTCTTATTGGCTCTAGAGATTTCTTTCTTTTTTTATTTTATTTTATTTTATTTTTTCTTTTTCCTGATGGCTCTGGAGATTTTTTGTTTGTTTGTTTTTTGTTTTTGTTTTCTTTTTTCTCTAGAGATTTGCACACATTTTAGGGTACATATTTCATTATGGTGATTATTTTTTTTTCTTGTGAAATGAGGTTTAAGATAGCAGTGCTTTTTTGCAGGCTTTGAGAAACTGAAATCTCCAAGAAATCTTTTTCTTGGCAATAGATTGCCTAGGTGCACATGAATCTTAAGTTTACCTTTATAATAGGTAAATAAAGAAAATAATATTCCCATGCCTTCAAAAGAGCAATGCAGAATTTTGATTTTGATTCAAATCTTTAATAACTGGATTGAAAAAAAATCTCAATTTTTTTTTCTTAGAAAAAGTGTGTCACTATATACCTAATCCTGCACATGGCCAAGCAATCCTTGCAAATGGGACTTACTCATTTGGAAATCAGCTGCACTTCATTTGTAATGACGGGTAAGTTGCTCCTTAGAGAAAATTAGGGAAATGTTAGTAATTTTATTTTTGTTTTGCCTTTCTTCTTAAGCATTCATGTATATTTCATTTTGCTTTCTATGTGACAAGTTATACTTCTAGCCAAACAACTCATGGATACTTTATGGGGATAGGCAATATGTATAGTAAATAGAAAGAAATTGATATTGAAGGAAAGCAAAACTACTTGCTGTATCTGACAATAAGCCTGTTGTAAGCATTAAGAATGTAGTAATCATGAAAATTTATCCTTCACAACTGAGTGTCCCCAATTGAAATCTGCCAACTCTTAGACTTGAAGTAGAGCTCACAGAAATGAGAGCTATTACTCTCATTTCTGTGAGAAGTAGAATTGCCAACTAAAGATACACTTGTATCCAGGTGACTCTGTAAGGTGTTACCCAACCAAAACTGACCCAATTAGCCTTTAACCATCATGTTGATCAAAATCTCTCAGTTGAAAAACCTTATTTTTGAGACTGCTACAATATGAAGCATCTCAAGAACAGGCACTGAGCACTCAGTAATAGTCTTTGTTTTGTAGGCCTTTTGAAGTCGTATATATTGGGAATACTGGACATTTAAGAGAAATGTGCATTTAGAGAGTAAATGTAATTTTCTGTCCATTTTCTGTTGCTGTAACAGAATACTTGAGGTTAGGTGATTTATAAAGAAAAATTTATTAGGCTTATATTTCTGGAGGCTGGGAAGTTCAAGGGCATGGCAGTAGTATTTGGCAAGGGCTTTCCCGCTGCATCATAACATGCTGGAAAGTGAAAGGGAAATTTAGCATGTGTAAAAAAGTCAAAGCACAAGGGAGGGGATTCTTACTTCCTAACAACCTGCTCTTATGGTAATGAATCCAAGCCTACAAAAATGAGAATTCACTCCCACAAGAATTAATGAAGACTCTCTAGAAAGGCATTATCCCTCTTAATGACCTAATTATTTCCCAGAGGCCCCACCACCTCTTAATGCTGTTACACTGGCAATTAAATTTCAACATGAGTTTCGATAGAGACAAACCAGATTCAAGCAATAGCAGTAATACACCATAATACAGAAAAAAATAATGGCCGGGTGTAGTGGCTCACATCTGAATCCCAGCACTCTGGGAGGTCAAGGCGGGCAGATCAGAAGGTCAGGAGTTCAAGACCAGCCTGACCAACATGGTGAAACCCTGTCTTTACTAAAAATACAAAAATTAGCTGGATGTGGTAGCACGTGCCTATAATCCTAGCTACTCAAAAGGCTGAGGCAGGAGAATCATTTGAACCCGGGAGATGGAAGTTGCAGTGAGCTGAGATTATGCCACTGTATTCCAGCCTGAGTGACAGAGCAAGACTCTATCTCAAAAAAAAAAAAAAAAAGATAAAATAAGTGAATCTTGGAGGAAAAATCACCTGTGACTATGTAAGGCATGTTTCTCTGACAGTTTTAAAAATTTGGTTAAGTAGAAATATTGGAATATTCAGTTAATAGTTACATAGAGCGGCTGGGCACGCTGGCTCACGCCTGTAATCCCAGCACTTTGGGAGGCTGAGGTGGGTGGATCATGAGGTCAAAAGATCGAGACCATCCTGGCCAGCATGGTGAGACTTCGTCTCTACTAAAAATATAAAAATTAGCCTGGCGTTTGGCACATGCCTGTAGTCCCAGCTACTCAGGAGGCTGAGGGGGAGGAATCACTTGAACCCGGGAGGCAGAGGTTGCAGTGAGCTGAGACTGGCCACTGTACTCCAGCATGGCAACAGAGCAAGACTCTGCCTCAAAAAAAAAAAAAAAGTTACACAGAGCTTGCTAGGCCCTCTGAGGGATACCAAAAGTTTAAGACATGGATACCCCTAAAAGAAATTGTAACATTATTGAGAAACAATATGTACTGAGAGCTATCAAAGCAAAAAAGAGAAATGCTAAATAAATAGAATTATTCATGAGAATTACACTAAAAGTCCAGAAGGAAAAGAGAGTCCTGTGAATTTAAATCAGAGAAGATTTCAAGTATATGGATATACTCAATGAAAGTATTCTATACTCAATAAGCTATTCCTAGAAAGACATTCTGTTCTAAATAATATTAATAAGAGCTAAAACTCACGTATCACTATGTGCCAAATGCTAACTTATCTAATCCTCTAAACAACTGCATGAGGTATGTACTGTTACCCCTTTTAATCAACTAGGAAACTGAGTGAGAGGAACTTTAAGTGACTTGCCCAAGCTCAAGAAACTAGTAAGTTGAGGAGCAGGGACTCAAATCCTGGCATTCCAGCTCTAGGACCTGATCTCTCTACACAGTCCTTGTCCTTACTCAGCAGAGTGGTGTGAGCAAAGGCACAGAAATGAATGTGTAATGTGATTGCAGGAGATAGCAAAGATGCTGGGCAGACAGGCACAGCAGATTTAGTTAGACATCTTTGCTCTTGGCCAATATATGTTCAAATGGAGAAATTCTTTATTTGATTAAAATGCAGACTGACTTAGCACTTTCATTATATAGTATGATGTTTTAGAAACCACCCCCTCAAATTACTGCAGTGTAGAAAAGCAACCATATAAAAAGTTCCTTCATTATTATGTGTGTCTTATTAATTGCTATACAAAACAGTAACCCTTTCTTTTCTCATTTAGCTATTATTTAATTGGTAAAGCAATTCTATATTGTGAACTTAAAGGATCTGATGCAGTTTGGAGTGGTAGGCCCCCAATATGTCAAAGTAAGTAAATTCTCTTTTTTTTTAAATTTAGACCAGTAGTTCTCAAAGTTTTTTGCCTCAGGGCACCCTTTACAGTTTAAGATTAACAAAGATCCCAAAGAGCTTTCTTTTATGTGGGTTTATCTGTTGGTATTTATCATATTGGAATTCAAATTGAGAGGTTTAAAAAATAATTATTGATTCTTTTCAGTTTTGTTTTTCCTAAGACAGGGTCTCACTCTCTTTCCCAGGCTGGAGTGCAGTGGCACAATCTCAGCTCATTGCAACCTCAACCTCTTCAGTAGCTGGGACTACAGGCATGTGCCACTATACCTGGCTTTTTGTAATTTTTGAAGAGACAGGGTTTTGCCATCTTGCCCTGGCTGGTCTTGAACTCCTGTGTTCAAGCCATCTGCCCCTGTGGGCCTCCCAAAGTGCTGGCATTACAAATGTGAGCCACCACACCCTGCCTGATGAATTGTGAGAATAGACACAGTACATATTAACATATGTAACTTTTTTAAATGAAAAATAACAATTTTCCAAAACAAAATAAGACTAGTAGGAATAGTGGCATTTTTCACACTTTTTTGCAGGTCTCTTCAACATCTGGCTTAAAGTAAGATCAGATTTGGCCTGCTGTGTTATCACACAATATGTAGTCTTTGGAAAAAAATCTCTATACACTTGTAAGGATGACAGTGATAAAAGACAATACTATTTTGGTGGTGCTGTGAAACACTGATTTAGAAAATGGATATATTTATAAATTGCAAAGGATCAACCACCCACTCCATTAAGCATATTTTCTCATTAAACTGTCAGCATTTCTTGTGATGACTAGAACAAAACTTAGTATGGCCTTGCAAAGAAATATAGGTATATTAGTCCGTTTTCATATTGCTATAAAGAAATACCTGAGACTGGGTAATTGATAAAGAAAAGAGGTTTAATTGGCTCATGGTTCTGCAAGCTGTACAGGAAGCATGATGCTGGCAACAGCTGTGAGTTTGGGGAGGCTTCAGGAAACTTAACCATTGAAAAAGGCAAAAGGGGAAGAAGGTATCTCACATGGCAGGAGCAGGCGCAAGGTGGGGAGGACAGGAGGTGTGGCACACTTTTAAACAACCAGATCTCCCAAGAACTCAGTATCATGAGAACAGCACCAGGGGTGTGGTGGGTGCTAAACCATTCATGAGAAATCTACCCACATGATCCAACCACCTCCCACCAGGCCATACCTCCAACATTGTGGACTGTAATTTGACATGAGATTTGGTGGGGACCCCAGATGCAGACCATATCGATGGGTATTTACACTTTAAGAAAATGAGATTTTTCTCTGAAAGTTAGTCAATACATTAATGGTTTGAATTTGGGATATTTGCTCATAGAAATCTTCTTTTAAATCAATATTGAATTCACAACCAGCTTGTAGAAACCGTATATTGATCAATGTATTGAAAACATAGAAATTTTACTAATGCTGTCTTAATCTTTTATACTTCCTTCCCTCTTTTTCCACATTTTTAAGAGATTTTGTGTAAACCACCTCCAACAATAAAAAATGGAAAACACACCTTTAGTGAGGTAGACGTATTTGAGTATCTTGATGCAGTAACTTATAGTTGTGATCCTGCGCCTGGACCAGATCCATTTTCACTTGTTGGAGAGAGCACGATTTACTGTCGTGACAGTTTAGGATGGAGTGGTGATCCTCCAGAGTGTAAAGGTAATCTTTCAGTATATTTCCTTCTTCATTTGTACATACCCTGGAATAATTTTGTAAATAGTCTTATCTGTAACTGAACAAAGCAGGTGTATGCACTTCCTCCTCCTGTATGATTGATTTCTAATATATTTTAATACAGGTCAGTTCAAGTCAAAAAACAGTTCTAGCTACAGAGTTCCCTATTTCTCACCTTCACGTGTTCTTGGCATTTTATTTTTAACAGTGTGAACTACTGTGTATCTGCATGAGTTAGAAGTTTTTGTTTGAAAGAACCAAAAAAATAAATCGACACACAAAGGCTGTGATCCTATTTATGTGACATTCTGAAAACGTCCCACTATAGGGATAAAAGCAGATCAGTGGTTGGCTGGTTGTAGAAGGCGGGGTGGGTGGTGAGGGAAAAGAAGGGTAACTCACAAAAGGGCATGAGGAAATTTTGGAGAGTAATGGAACTTTTCTTTACTCTACTGGTATTTACATGATTATTTGCATTTGTCAAAACTCATGTAGCTGTACACTTGAAAGGTGAATTTGACTGTATGTAAATTATATGCAATAAACTAACCTTTAAAAATATCATTAAGGAGAATGTATCATTTAAAATGCTTTATATTTAAACGTTTAACATTTACAGACTTTTTAGAAATGTTTTTAACATCTTGCATTCCATTCCTTGTCTCTGTTTCCACTGGAAATTACTACTTGGTACTACTTTTTCTGTTAAAGCAGATTTCCATTAATTCTGGGGTTTTTCTCCTTTTCCAGTGGTCAAATGTCGATTTCCAGTAATCGAAAATGGAAGACAGACAGCAGGATTTGGAAAAAAATTTTACTACAACGCAGCAGTTATGTTTGAATGTTATGAGGGTTTTCACATCATTGGCAGTGACACAATTGTCTGTAACAGTAACAGCACTTGGGATCCCCCAGTTCCAAAGTGTGTTAAAGGTACAAAGGTTTTCTTTTTTCTGTCTTCGTTTGTTGTTGTTGCTGTTCATTTTAGACATTATTTCTTTGATATTAACTATCAGTCATACAGAATAACTGAAAAGAAACAATTTTAGTATTTAACTCTGTTTTGTATTCATTTCTATGCCAGATGTATGACATGAAATTCACATAAAATTCTGCTGTTGTGATTTGCTGTGCTTTTCCAGGGTTCTCAGCATGTTATTTTCCAGGGTTCTCAGCATGTTATGTACATTGCATGGGTATATACTTTCTCTGGTTCAATAATTTTATGTATAAAAAGTAGGTTACAACCACTTTTTGGAGTGAATTAAAACACAGGCATTTTTATCTAAGTCAGTCAAGAAGGGCATAATTCATATAAATGAAATGGCAGCAATAACTCCCAGGTGGTTGATCTAATAACGTTATTTTATTTCCTAGAGCTGCCTCCTTCCAGTACAAAACCTCCAACCTTGAGTCACTCAGGTTTGGTATCTTCTTCCTTGTATTTCTCAAAAATCTTCTAAATTCCTGGAGAAAATGCCAGTAATAACTCCCAAGTGTTTGATCCAGTCTACATTATTGTTTTCCAGTGTCAACTTCTCTCGCTACAACATCTCTAACTTCCAGTGTCTCAGGTTTAGTAACTTCCTGCTTATATTTTTTCAAAAATCCTTTAAATTCTTGGTGATTTTTTCAAAAATCCTTCAAATTTCTGGTGATGTCCACTCATTCATCATTTTTAGTAATGAAAGGAGAGAGGACATTTGTCTAGCCATTTTAGTTGTTATACATAGTGATTCTAAAATTATTTGCCATAATCTGGGGATATAATTTTATATATATATATATATATATATATATATATATATATATATATATAAAAATTAAATTAGGACCTTCCTTTTTATTAGTAAGATACAAGTGGGATGCATTTAATGCACTTAGCATAGTACCTGGTATGTAGAAAGCAACACTTAAATTAATGTTAGGGAATAGAAACATCCATGTATGTTTGTAAATATGTATATGTGTTAATATGTATGTTTGTTGGTTAATATGTATGTTTTGTGTCATCAACTTTACTGTTTTATTCTTTTCAGAAGTGATCTGTTGACACTTTTGCTGAGAATGTTCCTATTCCAGGAATTTTTCATGCTCTGGAATGCAACGAGTTTGAGTCTTCTGATGTGACACATTTAAACAGGGAAATTTCTGCTGTCTCCAGAGCACGACCTATATTTCTGCCTCTTCCCTACCTGCCCCTCTTCCACATCTCATAATGTTATTTTTTTTTTCCTCTTTACTGGGCAGTTTTATCTGGCCATAGCAAGTAAATTTTATAGCAACCGAAAGGCAGGAAATTTTCTTACTTACTGAAATGAAATAGAAGACTTTTTGCAGGGACTTCTGGTCAACCACTGTGCTTATGACTGGAGAGATCATTTTGATATGACGGAAGGAATTATCATCCTGATTTCAACACTGCTGTCTCTGGTTTCACTTTGCTTGCAGCAGAAGCAAGAGACAGTAGTCATTGTGGGAAGAGCATTAGCCTGGAAAGAAACATCATTTCTATGGTCTTCCATTTCCCTTTAGTTTAATGTGGGTGTCGAACTGAAATCTCAATCACTGGCTTCTAATTCGATTATATATTTCCTATCTCCCTAATATTTTAAAGGATTGAGGGGAATTATGCATGTTAACATAGCAATTAAAATACCTTCTTATAGGCTGGGCGCAGTGGCTCACTCCTGTAATCCCAGCACTTTGGGAGGCTGAGGTGGGTACATCACAAGGTCATGAGTTCAAGACCCGCCTGTCCATGATGGTGAAACCCTGTCTCTACCAAAAATACAAAACTTAGCCAGGCATGATGGCAGGCACCTGTAATCCCATCTACTTGGGAGGCTGAGGCAGGAGAATCGCTTGAACCTGGTGGGGGAGGCACGGAGGGTACAGTGAGTGAAGATGGAGCCACTGCACTTCAGCCTGGGTGACAGAGTGAGACTCCATCTCAAAAAAAAAAGAAAAATACCTTGTATTTTTGTTTATAAGTAAGGTGTGAGTGCCCGGTGTATAGAAAGCTCTTAGAGCTAGCTAATATGACGTATTCAACACTTAATTTAATATTAAGGAAGAGATAGATCCATGTATGTTTGTTAATATGTAATTGGTAACTGGTAGCCTCTTGAATTGAGTGCTGTAGGGTTTGAGGGCAGGAAGAGATGGGCTTTTTGGTGGACTGATATGTGAGCAAAACAAAATTGCGTGTGAAATTTCTACTCAATGAGGCATCCATGCTTACTCACATGCTCATAGTGGGTATATGCACTAAGTTTGTTGATACAGTCTTTTGAAAGAGTTGTCAATAAGCATTTCATAAAGTATTTATAAAACACTGATCTAGCTTAGTGCTTGAGAACAGAGGAGAGAATTGCTTGTGAGAAAAAGTTTATAAAAAAGAGAAACTACAAGGGTATTTTTTTAAAAAACCAAATTCCTCATGGGGTTGTCAGTCATTTTTCATCATCAGAGGACAACTAAATAGCAACGTAATTATGTTAAGGTAGATCTCAATTACTAACATGAAAAAATAGCCAAGAATCCTAAGTGGAAAAGAGGAAGATGTAAATTATGTAAATTATGTAATATGATACCATTTACAGTTTTAAAAAAAGATACATTCCTTTTTTTTTTTTTTTTTTTTTTTTTTGAGACAGAGTCTTTCTCTGTCACCCAGGCTGGTGTGCAGTGGCATGGTCTCAGCTCACTGCAACCTCCACCTCCTGGGTTCAAGCAGTTCTCCTGCTGCTTCAGATTCCCAAGTAGCTGGGATTACGGGCGCCCACCACTATACCCAGCTAATTTTTGTATTTTTAGTAGAGACAGGGTTTCTCCATGTTGGCCATGCTGGTCTTGAACTCCTGACCTCAAGTGATTCACCCGCCTCAGCATCCCAAAGTGCTGGGATTACAGGCATGAGCCACCAAGCCCGGCCACACATTACTTTTGTGATTTATTATTGGTTATCTTCTAGGATTTCCATTATAAAATACAGAATATAATGAGCATTCTTGTACCTACATCCTTACATACCTGTGCAGCTATATATGTAGGTAAATTCTAATCTGTAGAATTGCAAAGTTTGTAAAGTATGTGTAGTCTTCATTTTGATAAATAATCTTTAAAAATCAATATCAAAATTAAAGCCATAATTGTATATTGACAAGGCCCTGATGAATTTATAAAATCAAACTTATTTTTCTAGGTCCTAGGCCTACGTACAAGCCTCCAGTTTCACGTTATCCAGGTTGGTTAGCCCTACTGATATTGTTAAGAATTTTTTTTACTTAAAATTTTTTTAAATTAAAAACTTTAGACGTATCTAAAAAAATGTTAAGAATTTTTAAATGATAGGTGAAAAGTAACATCTTATTTTAATTTGCATTTCTTGGTTGTTAGTTTTTAGTTTTTTTGTTTGTTTGTTTGAGACAGGGTCTCACTCTGTTATCCCAGGCTGGAGTACAGTGGTGCGACCACAGCTCACTTCAGCCTCAACCTCCTGGGCTCAGGTGATTCTCCCACCTCAGCCTCCCAAGTAGCTGGAACTACAGGCACATGCCACCACATCCAGCTAATTTTTTCTGTATTTTTTTGTAGAGACAGAGTTTTGCCATGTTGCCCAGGCTGGTCTCTAACTCCTGGGCTCAAGCGATCCTCCTGCCTTAGCCTCCCAAAGTGCTAGAATTATAGGTGTGAGCCACCGTGCCTGACCAATTTGCATTTCCTAAATTATCAGTGAATCTGAACTTTTTTTGATCTACATTTGTTTATTTATGTACTTTGTCTATTTTTCTATTAGGTTTCTAAAATATTTTTCTTAGTGATTTTTGAGAGCTCATTATGAATTAAAGCCCTTTTAATATGAAGCAAACAGTGTTTTCCAGGTTTTTTTGTTTTGTCAGTTTTAAGCTTGTTATACTATTGGATATAGATTACTTTTTATAACTTTTAATTACATGAGTTGTATTTGAATATATTTTTGTAGAATTTCAAACTTACAAAAGTATATAGAGTAAAAGATTAGTTTTCTTTCCAACTTATTATCCAAGTTAATTACTGTTAATAGTTCAGAGTTTCTTTTTAAATCTATTTTTGTGCATCAAGATCTTTTTTTGGAAAGTTTTATTTTAGTTTGGGGGTACATGTGAAGGTTTGTTACATAGGTAAATGTGTCACAGGGATTTGTTGTACGTATTATTTCATCACCCAGGTATTAAGCCTAGTACCCAGTAGTTATCTTTTCTGCTCCTCTCCCTCCTCCCACTCTCTCGCTCAAGTAGACCCCAGTGTCTGTTGTTTCCTTCTTTGCATTCATAAGTTCTTAACCATTTAGCTCCTACTTACAAGTGAAGGCATGCGGTATTTGGTTTTCTGTTTCTGCATTTGTTTGATAAAGATAATAGCCTCCAGCTTCACCCAAGTTCCTGCTGAAGACATGAACTCATTCTTTTTTATGGCTGCATAGTATTCCATGTGTGTATGTACCATATTTTCTTTATCCAATCTGTCATTAATGGGCATTTAGGTCGATTCCATGTCTTTGCTATTGGGCATAGTGCTGCAGTGAACATTCAAGTGTGTGTCTTTCTGGCAGGATGATATATATTTCTCTGGACATATACCCAGTAATGGGACTGCTGGGTTGAATGGTAGTTCTGCCTTTAGCTCTCTGAGTAATCACCATACTGCTTTCCACATAGTTGAACTAAATTACACTCCCACCAACACTGTATAAGTGTTCCCTTTTCTTTACAACCTTGCCGGTAACTTATTTTTTGACTTTTTAATAATAGCTATTCTGACTGGTGTGAAATGGTATCTCATTGTGGTTTTGATATGCATTTCTCTAATGATCAGTGATGTTGAGCTCTTTTTCCATATGTTTGTTGGCCACATATAGGTCTTCTTTTGAGAAGTGTCTGTTCATGTCCTTTGCCCACTTTTTAATAGCGTTGTTTTTCTCTTGTAAATCTGTTTAAGTTCTTATAAATGCTCGATATTAGACCTTTGTCAGATGCATAGTTTGCAAAAATTTTCTTCCATTCTGTAGGTTGTCTGTTTACTCTGTTGACAGTTTCTTTTGCTGTGCAGAAGCTCTTCAATTCAATCCGACTTGTCAATTTTTGCTTGTGTTGCGATTGTTTTTGGCATTTTTGCCATGAAATATTTGCCTGTTCTTATGTCCAGAATGATATTGCCTGCATTGTCTTCCAGGGTTATTATAGTCTTGGGTTCTACATGTAAGTCTTTAATCCATCTTGAGTTGATTTTTGTGTATGGTATAAGGAAGGGGTCCAGTTTCAGTCTTATACATATGGCTAGCCAGTTATCCCAGCACCATTTACTGAACAGGGAATCTTTTCCCCATTGCTTTTGTCAGTTCTGTGGAAGATCAGATGGTCATAGATATGTAGCCTTATTTCTGGGCTCTCCATTCTGTTCCATTGGTGTATATACCTGTTTTTGTACCAGTATCCCCATGCTGTTTTGGTTAGTTTAGCCTTGTTTGAAGTCAGGTAATGTGATGCCTCCAGCTTTGTTCTTTTTGCTTAAGATTTTCTTGACTATTCAGGGTCTTTTTGGTTCCATATGAATTTTAAAATCATTTTTTTCTAGTTCTGTGAAGAATGTTGGTGGTAATTTGATAGGAATAGCATTGAATTGTAAATTGCTTTGGGCAGTTTAGCCATTTTAATGATATTGATTCTCCCATCAATGAGCATGGGATGTTTTTTCATTTGTTTATGTCTTCTCTGATTTCTCTGAGCAGTATTTTATAATTCTCATTGTAGAGATGTTTCACCTCCCTGGTTAGCTGTATTCTTTTAGGTATTTTATTCTTTTTGTGAATGGGATTGCTTCTCTGATTGGGCTCTCAGTTTGGTGGTTGTTAGTGTATAGGAATGCTAGTGAGTTTTGTACATTGATTTTGTATCCTGCAACTTTGCTGAAGTTGTTCATCATCTGGAACAGCTTTTAGGCCAGACTAAGGGGTTTCCTAGATATAGAATCATGTCATCTGCAGACAGAGGTAGTTTGACTTCTTCTCTTCCTGTTTGGATACGCTTTGTTTCTTTCTCTTGCCTGATTGCTTTGGCTAGGACCATCAACATATTTTTAAGTGTAGTTATACTGTAGTTTGGTGTTTTGTCTTTTGTTAAAAATGATGTCATGCTGTACATGTTTTTCTGCAACTTGAACTTTTTCCACTTACACTCTTAGATTGGGTTTGTGTTTAGATTTATTCTCATCTTTTCTAATGGTGACTTAAATATATACCATATTTCATTTAACTGTCCTCCTATCAGTGGTCATTTATATGTTCAGACGTTTTACATTAATAGGTAGTTGGATGTATAACCTTTGGTGTCTTTCTTACTAAAACTTTAGGTCTTCCATATGCTGAAATTATATAAAGATTTCAACCATGTGTTCTGACTTTGGTCTTTGTGCTTAAATCGTTGGTACATCCGAAATTCATTCTGGTGTATATAATGGGATATATGGTTCAACCTTTCCCCATCCCACCCACCACCATCCAATAGCTAAACAGAACCATTTTTTGAATAAGTTGTCTTCTCCCCAACTGATTTGAAATGCCAATTTGTATCATACATTGCATTCATAGGGGTTCCATCTTCCTTTCTCCTTTGGGCTTTGTCTATTCTTCCATTCTTGTACCAGAAGCAAGTTTTTTTTAAACTGTAGTACTATATGTTTTAATAACTTCCAGAACACTTCTTTTCAGAAATTTCTAAGGTACTCTCATGTTAATTTTTCCAAATCAACTTTTTATTTTATTTATCATTTGACCATTTTAAGTTTACAATTCAGTGGCATTAAGTACACTGATGTTGTTATATAACCATCAGTACCATCTATCTCTAGAACAGAATAGAATCATCCCACACTGAAACTACTTCAACAGTAACTCTCCATTCCTCCCTATCTCTAGCACCTGATTATAACTACTTTCTACTTTTTGTCTCTGTAAATTTGCCTATTCTAGGTAAATTCATATAATTTAGATATAATAAGTGGAGTCCACTTATGGAATCCCAGTATTTGTCTTTTTGTGTCTGGCTTATTTCACTTAGCATAAGGTTTTTAAGGTTCGTCTAGATCTATCTTGTGACATGAGTCAGAACTTTAATCCTTTTTATGGCTGAATAATAGTCCATTATATGTATATACTATATTTCATTTATTCATTCATTGTTGCTAGACACTTGGGTTGGTTTGTTTTTATCTTTTGGCTCTTTTGAGTAATGCTGTTATAAACATTCATTTAACATTGAGTATGATGTTAGCTGTTGGTTTTTAATTTATGGCCTTTATTATGTTGAGGAAGTTTCCTTCCATTTCAGGTCAACTCTAAAGCATTTATTAATCCCTCTATCTTTTAATTTTAATTAGAATGACATTGGATTTATAGACTAATTTTGAGAATATATTAAAGATAAATTTACATGTTGTACCACAGAATATTGTCAGAGGAAATGTGAGTGGGCAGGAAGAAAAAAGATGATGACATTAAATATACATTTATAAATTTTTATATTACTTTAAATGAGAAACAATATAGTTTATAAGGAAAACGACATTTTAAGGGATATTCTACAAAGGTGAAAAAAAATCACCCTATGAATATAAAGGATTTTGTTTTATTTTTTTTTTCTTAATTTAATCTATATTTCTTCTTTTTTCTAGGATATCCCAATCCTGATGAAGGAATGCTTGATGGTTTAGGTTGGTATAGCTACCATGACTAATATAAGTGGTAGTATGTGTAGAAACATATAGATAATTACAGTTACCATGAGGTGCCCCAACATAGGATCCCTAGTAGGGTAAGATAGCTTTCTTAAATGCTGTGTTTGTAGGTAGGTTAAAATATATAAAACACTATTTTCTTTCCACATTATATTGTTATTTTATGATGGCAATCCATAGATAAATTTTCTTTCTATTCATACCTTATATACATGAACGTTAAAGTAATCTAAGTTGAGTTCATTTTCTATGTAACAAACTGGTTTAACACACTTGATGGAGGCTCACACAGTTCACACAATACATATTAAAGAAAATGATGACATATAGTTGTGATAAAGGCCAATGAAATATAAAGATTTCTTAATAAGTAAAAAAAAAAAGACAACAATCTATTACTTTTCGTTTCTTAGACTAGTTTAGTAATGTTAATCATTTTACATAATGCACCTTAGGCATGTTTTTTAGTGTTTGCCTTACCTCCAAAATCTGTGGTCCAAGTGTCATTGTGCCAGTAAATCTATTTCCATCTGCAACCATTAAACACTTGATAACTGTTTATGAGATGAGAAAAGCAGAGTTAAACATGGCACTTTATGCTTTAACTTATAGCAATTTGATTTATAGCAAAAGTAATGTCAGTTTAGAAACAAAGGTATTATGGACAGAAACACTTCTAAAAATTAAGATTTTATAGGATTATTTCATGTTCTCTAGATAGTCAAAAATGTATGCTCAAGTTTCTCTGAATATTTTTTATCCATGTGTGCCGTGGTGTTTCATTTATAAAGGGAATCCTATTGGTATTTAGGACCATGTCTTAATTTTGGGGCAGGGCAGAGTAGGGAAGTAGAGAGGATAGGAAGGGGATTGATAAGATAAAGTATTATTTGTGAAGACTCTGTAAATACCATCTAGGTGATAGAATAATAGAAATTTATTTATGACTCACTCTACAGATCCACTTTTGGAGGAAAAAATACAAGTTAAATATCTACCAAAATCATGAGAAATGACAGTTATGTTAATAACTTTACTGCTAAATAACCTGATGTAGTAGCTATGGAGAAAAACAATGAAAAGTGAGGTTCCCATTAAGAGTTTCACAAGTGGAACCCTTAACCTGGAAACTGATTAGAAGGATTCTGTGATCAAAATGACCTGGATGCACTAGCAGTCTGTAGTGTTGTATTAGTCCATTCTTACGCTGTTGTAAGGAACTTTCTGAGACTGAATAATTTTTAAAGGAAAGAGGTTTAACTGACTCATAGTTCTGCAGGGCTGAGGAGGCCTCAGGAATCTTACAGTCATGGAGGAAGGGGAAGCAAACACAAAGGAGAAGTATGAGAGCTGAGTAAAGGAGGAAGCCCCTTGTAAAACCATCAGATCTCATGAGAACTTACTATCATGAGAACAGCATAGGGAAACTGCCTCCATGATTCAGTTACCTCTCATGGGGTCCCTCCCATGACGTGGGGATTGTGGGAACTACAATTCAAGATGAGGTTTGGGTGGGGACATAGCCAAAACATATCAAGTGTTTAGATGATCTGATTGAAACAAATCCTATCTGGAGATCTGTGTGTTCAACATCTTTGAACTGCTTTCTTTCTCAGATGAATGGGCCATTGCTCTGATTGTTATTGCTATACGTAAGTATCACAAATTTTGACACCACTTAAGTCAAAACATTATTGTGAAGGCATGCATTTTAAAAATAGTTTTTCAGTTTCTATAGTTTTTATAGCTTGTAAATTGGTTGGTTAATTAAGCCAGTTTAGGAAAACCTGACCTTTTATTTGATATACTTACTACCTGCCTTGTGTTAGTGATTTTATATTCTGTTATATTCTATGTATCCACTTAGTAACAAAGCCTAAGTAATACATATTTTCTCAAGATGATCAGTAATAGGAGTTGGCTTCCCAAATGTGCTTTTGATATTTTTCTGGATTAAAGCAAGGACTTTTCTCTGACTTACTTTGCATTGTGTAAGTGATTATGGGGAGTTGGATTTAGATAGCAGAGTCTGGATGTAATATAAATGTGTAGGTGCTTAAATAAAATAACATTTGACCACTGAAATGTAACCAACATTTATTTCTTCTGCTAGATTTTTAATCTTGGTAATTAGTTTTCAGAATTACATGTCATTTGTTTCCTGGTTTCTTGTAGTTGTTGGAGTTGCAATAATTTCTGTTGGCCTGCACAGATATCTTCAAAGAAGGAAGAAGAAAGGGTAAATCAAAGCATGTTTTTTCTAACTTCTTCGTCTTTCTTATCCTTGACATGCTTTTGTGCAGTTTAAGCTTGTAATCTTAAGTATTGCATGCTCTCTTTTTTAAAAAATGTGCCTGCATTAGTGTGTCCTACCAATTGCATTTCTTTACTAAAAATATTTTCAGCTTTTAACATCACTACAACATAAAAAAATCTGTGCAAGTTACTACAGCTATTATGACTTTAAGGAAACTTCTCTGGAATTTGAGGTTTAAGTTATTTAACAAATCGTGACCACTATGACGCTTTCTCTACCTTAACTATTCCCTGTTTCTTAAATTGCCCTGGTGGCCAAAATTAAATCTAAAATATTTCACTGTGGAGACTTTGACAGTTGTATGCACTAGAATTTTTATAATGAAAGTTTCCACTTGTCTCTATAGCTTAGCTAGTTGTAAGAAGCTATGTAGGCATCTCATTTAAATACCCAATTTGATGTATTTTCATTTAGAGTTGTTATTTATACATGTTAAACTGGGGGATTCAAAACAATACTATCTGATTTCCCTCTTATGCCCTCTGAATTTACCAGATTGCAGTAAAACTGATGGGGTTAAACTTGCTGAAAGGGGTTAGATTTATAAGATACCTCAATTAACTTTTATGTGTCTTTTAATCTATAAAAATGTAAAAATTGAGTGGGCTTAGAATAGAATAAAATTGTACAAGTCCATATCTTCTAACAAAAATAGGTTTTTTAAACATCAAACTCAAATTTTAGTTAGAGAGCTTACAATTTAACAGAATACTTAGAATGAATCCTGGAACATAAACTAAGATTAGGTACTTTAAAATTTCTGAAAGATAATATACATTCATGTTTATTGATTTTTTTAAAAAATGTTGCCCCATATAGTTTTAGAAATAGCTTTGAAATCAAACCTAATTATTTTAAGATTTTTGGTACTTACGATTTTATGATATATATATTCCTTTTATACTGATTATCAGGTTTGGGCTAAGTCATAAAAGTACATTCTTTACTCACAAGAAACTCAAACTTTTTTCATATTACTTGGTTATCTTTTTAAATACCCATAATCCCTTCACTTGAATCTTAAATCTTGTATTTATGGAATGTGTTATGCATATTTGATTTATCTATCAGTTGTATGTTTTAAAAGTTACTTATCTACAGCAATGTGAGTACAAAGTACTAATAATGGAATATTTGTACAAGTTCATAAGATTTGTGTAGAAAAAACCTCTAAGAAAAGCAAAACAAAGTCACATTCTGCTCATTTTCCTTCTTTGTTTAAAATATCACTGCATTAGAATTTTTAAAGGTTACTTAACAAGTATTAATCAAACTCTCTCTAGCTAGCAGTTAATGGATCTCTTTTGTTTGTTTGTTTGTTTTGAGATGGAATATCATTACCCTGTCGCCCAGGTTGGAGTACAATGGCACAACCTCAGATTCCCCTGCCTCAGCCTTCCAAGTAGTTGAGATTACAAACTTGCAATACCACCCCCGGCTAATTTGTTGTACCTGTACTAAAGACCAGGTTTCACCATGTTGGTCAGGCTGGTCTTAAACTCCCAACCTCAGGTAATCTACCTGCCTCGGCCTTCCAAAGTGCTGGGATTACAGGGATGAGCCACCACACCCGGCCTTAATGGATCTTTTAAAACTGAACAGTTATCTGACTATTGTACTCCCAAATTAAAGGTTCAATAGCAATAGTGAACTGAGATTGCAAAATTAATTTGGTGATTTTTTTCCAAAGCCCATATTTTACAGCATAGGGTCCAACAGACAATTGCTATTATTAAAATTTTAAAGTATTTTGGGAAGGTGTTATATCTTTAGCCAATGCAACGTAAGTAATTCTGTAAATAGTAGCACAACTTGAGGAAAAATCATCCAAAAAATAGTGTGAGAGAGGAAACTCATAATTGCCTTTGAATTTTAAAATATAAACTGCATGGGAATCTTTTAGAATAGATGTTGCCCTTTTTATGACAGGAGCATACTCGATTGGAAATTCAGCATAATATGTATGGCTGAATCCAAAGCTAGGCTCTCTTTATGGATCTATTATTTTGTAGTTCCTGTTTATTTTGATAGCTGAATTGAATGTGAGAGGGTTTATCTTTCTTCAGAGTCTAGAGCAAATGCTTCTCTGACTTTAATGTGCACATTAATTACCTGGAAATCTGTTAAAGTACAGGATCTCATTCATTAGGTTTGGGGTGGAGCCTGAGACCCTGCCTGTCTAGTGAGCTTCCAGCACTGATGCTGCTGCTGGGCCTGGGCGGCACTGACCAGGGTATCGGCCGCTGCTGATGTGCCCATGTGGTTCAGATCTGAAGAAACACTATCAAGCTTATTGGCAAATTTTTCTAATGTTTAAGATAATTGGAGTTTTTATGATTCCCCATCCATGTGTATCCTTAAAAAAAGGCTCTGGGGTAATGGTACTTGGCTTTTCATCCTCTTTTTTTTTTTTTTTTTTTTAACTCTTTAAAAACATAAAGATTTCTGTTATTTTCTTTGCACTGTTTAATGTCCATAATCTTGTCCCCCCAGATTGGCTGTTTTGGCCTTAGAATCTTCTTATAAAGATTTTAAAAATGTCTGGAGTTACTTCTCTACTTCCAGGGGTAACTGGAAGCAGGCTAGCAGGCACAAATAATCGCAAATTGCTGTTAAAGCCTGGCACAAAATATATTTGATGTAAACTGGTATTTATGATGATTTGGGAACATAATTACCCTTCTGCAGCCTTCATCTCAAAGTACAAAAATAGCGTAAGTAGTCATTTTAAGATCATCCAACATCATTTACATTACTTGATGAAAGATGGCCAAAAGGTTAAAGGATTCTGCTTTCGTAGCCCTCAGCTAAGAACAGGATAGGATACCAATTGGTCCAAAATGGCTCCCATCCACATGCTCCCTCCTCTTCCCCTCCCATTTCCTTTCTTTACTAATTTTTCTACCATACTTTCTAGTCTTGGAAGCCACAGCCCTGTCTTTGCTACTGCTTGAGTTCTGTATTACATGGCATGACTGTGCTTCTGAACAGATGATTTTTGTTCACATAATATTTTCATTACTTTTAATGATTTTTTACCTCTAGTTAAGTTGTCCCTGAACATGTGACAGTTTGGCTAAGTTAGTAAAGTTATTTGCATAATTTATATATTTATTACCTGTGACAAATTGTTTTTCCTTTTTTCCATTAGGGTATTTGTTATTTTGTATAACCTAAACTGACTTTTAATGTTACATTAATATTGACTGACCCAATTACTTTGTTAAAAATAGTGGTCAGGCTGGGCTCCGTGGCTCACATCTGTAATCCCAGCACTTTTGGAGGCTGAGACAGGCAGATCACCTGAGGTCAGTAGTTTGAGACCAGCTTGGCCAACATGGCGAAACCCCATGTCTACTAAAAATACAAAAATTAGCTGAGTGTGGTGGCATACACCTATAATCCCAGCTACTTGAGAGGCTGAGGCAGAGAATTGCTTGAACCTGGGAGGCAGAGGTTGCAGTAAGCTGAGATCATGCCACTGCACTCCAGCCTGGGAAACAAGAGCAAAACTCAGTCCCCCAAAAAATAAAAAGTGGTCAGTTCAGGTAATTGGGGCATATAGTGACATGGGGCAAAAGAGGATCAAATTAACTTACATGTTTTTCTAGTTGGCCCTCAAATTCTTTAGCATTTGACCTTTCAAAACTGTTTCAGCGATGCAATGATGTCCCCTCAGATTGAAAACAGATGAGCCACAGGAAGAAACTTCTCAGTGCAGAACTCCAGAGACATCTGAAAATACATGATGTCGTAAAGTTGATTCTAAGATAATATTACATGGATTTAATAGATACTCAATGTATTCCCTCAAAATTGAGGGGGTTAGGCCAGGTTTGGTGGCTCATACCTGTAATCCCAGCACTTTGTGAGGCCAAGGCGGGCAGATGGATTGAGCTCAGGAGTTTGAAACCAGCCCGGGCACATAGTGAGATGCTGTCTTTTTTTAAAAAAAAAAAAAAAATCTAGTTGGGCGTGGTGGCTCACACTTGTAATCCTAGCACTTTGAGAGGCCGAGGTGAGTGGATCATAATATCAGGAGTTCAAGACCAACCTGACCAACATGGTGAAACCCCGTCTCTACTAAAAATACAAAAATTAATCTAGTGTGGTGATGTGCACCTGTAATCCCAGCTACTCAGGAGGCTGAGGCAGGAGAATCGCTTGAACCTGGAAGGCAGAGATTGCAGTGAGCTGAGATCGCGCCACTGCACTCCAGCCTGGGCGACAGAGTGAGACTCTGTCTCAACAACAACAACAAAAATTCATGGGTGCTAGAGACCAGTATCATTTCTCCTCAACTATGTTTTATTCCTTGAAAATATTTTGACATGACTCACTTCTTACAAAATGGTTTCAAAGATAAATATATTAAACAGGAATTTCCAGTCTGTTTATCTGCTGGATGATCTGTATGACTTCAAAGTTCAAGTAGCTTCTAACACAAAATTCATGTTTCCAGTCCTTCAGTGAGAATGAGAAAGTCTTAAGTCATGAACCTAATTCTCAGCTTTCCTGCCATTCTCGCCCATTGCGGATGTTAATCCCACTTGTTATGCTACTCTTGCTTCTTTTTGGTTTGAAGTCACTGTTTTGTTCAGCCCTTTTCCCGTCCTCTGTTCAGCACATACCTAACTGGTGAAACCCACAGAGAAGTAAATTTTACTTCTCTCTGAGAAGAAGAGATGAGAGAAAGGGTTGCTTTTATCATTAAAAGGTATCTGCTTTCTGTTGTTTCTTTTCAGATGTCCTTTCTTTTGAAAAATATTCAGTGGATATATAGATACCAATAATCTGAGTAAAGAGATACTGGGAGTAAATATCAAAGAGGCAATTTACGTTCCTGTGCCTTTGCTAAATTATTCCTTTTGAAAACATATTGTGTACTGACAGGCTTTTGCTTTGACGTAGGCTTTAAATAGAGTTATGTTCCCCCATCAGACTACCTGACTTCTACCTTGTAAAACAGCTGTGAATCCAAAAGTAAGAATTTGTGAGCCCAGGGGGAAATAACCACAGAATCAACTCATTTTAAGTGCAAGGAGGAAAAATGCCCTTTTGTAGAAACCAAAATAAATTTTACTTAATTTTGTAAATTCATTCAGTTGCAGTGTATAAATAACTCTGTAAATACATTTTATCAGTTTCCCTGGGCTGGGATATTTTTAGCATATTAAAGGAAAACAAAAAAGTCCTCAGATTTTGAAGAGTAATGGATTGCATTGCCCTAAACCCTTTGACCCTTTCCACCTTCTGTCTTTGAATTTAATTAGAACTATTCCTCTATGCTAGAATGTGTTATCTGCAGAGCTGGGAAGAGAAGAAGATACGTATCCCACCTCCTATAATGTCAGGCCCTACCCTAGGTATCAAAAGTTTGGGAGCAGGATCTACAAAGTCCAGCTGGAAAGAGCATTTCTTAGGAAAAGCAAAGTGGTGTCTTTGATCACAGGGGGAAAGAGAAAGACAGAACATACCCACCAGAATTGGCAGTCAGAGCCTATCCAGTCCTGTATACGCTAGTTCTTCCTTATCCACGAGGGAGACATTCCAAGACCTCGGATAGTACTAAACATATATATATATATATATATATACTGTTTTCTCTTATACGTATATACCTATGATAAATTTTAATTTATAAATGAGGCACAGTAAGAGATTAACAGCAATAAGTAATAATAATATAAAACAATTATATCAGTATGCCAGCATCACCGCTCTTGTGCTCTGGAGCCATTAAGTAAAATAAGGATTACCTAACCACAGGTACTGTGATAACCAAGACACCTATTGAGTAACAGGCACATAGCGTCCACAGCATGGGGATGCTGGACAAAGGGATGATTTGTATCCCAGGAGGGGCAGAGTGGGACAGCGTGAGGTATCATGATACTCAGAATGGTACACAATCTAAAACTTATTCTTTCTGTAATTTTCCATTTAGTATTTTTTGACTGTATTTTACTGTGGGTTACTGAAACTGTGCAAGTCAAACTGTGAATAAGAGAAGACTACTGTATCTTCTTAATCTCTTAGGATACTTTCAAGGCTAAAGCCAACTAGGAAAATAATTTCTAGACTCTCTCTGAGCTTCAGTGTGTCTGTAAACATTTTAAGATAATTTAATGAATGCTGTAGTTAATATAAGATAATTGCAATTAGTAATCCAGTTTCAAATTTTTGCTGTTTTTCAAAATAGCTTCATTGTTATAGCCAATAAATATATTTTTCTAAATTTATGTTAATGGTTTTTAATCTTTGGCATAGATTGGATTTCTATTTAAAACTTTATTTAAAGGAAAGAGATTCTACTACTATGGGAAAAAAGTATTTACTTAGAAAAATATAGTGGTGGCCGGGCACGTTGGCTTACAACTGTAATCCCAGCACTTTGGGAGGCCGAGGCAGGTGGATCTCTTAAGGTTCAGGACCAGCTTGGCCAACATGGTGAAACCCTGGCATGGTGGTACATGCCTGTAACCCCAGCTACTCAGGAGGCTGAGGCATAAGAATTTCTTGACTCCAGGAGGAGGAGGTTGCAGTGAGCCAAGATGACACTATTGCACTCCAGCCTGGGTGACAGAGCAAGACTCTGTCTCAAAAAACAAAAACAAAAAACAAAGAGAAAAATATAGTGGTCTTGGAGAATTCAGTGAAAGGCCAAGTCAGTCATCACAATAGTCCTTAGGGAACTGCAATATTATTAAGTATAGTAGTAACACAATGGAGAACCATAATGACGGCCTCCCCGACAAAGAGAAACAAACCCATTGATGCCCGAGGTTGCAATTTTTTGAATTTTTGCAATCAGACCCTGGCAATGACCTTGAGTAGTAAGATACAAATAACTCCCACATGCTTAGTGTTCCAATAATGGAACACTAGGCATAAATGGGTTATTAAAGTATGCAAAATTAACGTGCTTAGCTGTGACACTGGGAAGACATCCCTGGAGTGTTTGCTGTGGCACATAAAATGGTAAATAGGGACTGCTCCAAATTTAGTTTTCATTTGTCTACTAAAGTCAATTTACTAAGGCAGGGAGAGCCCAGAGCTGTGGTGTCCAATTCAATACTCAATAGCCATGTGTGGCTGCTAAGGACTTCCAGAGTGACTGGCCCATTTCAGGTATGCTCCAAGTGTCAAACACTAAGCACAAAATATGTAAAATACATGTTGATATTTTGGTTATACTGGGTTAAAGAAAATAAAATTATTTTTGCCTATTTATGTTTTTAAAAGGGCTTCTAGAAAATTTTAAATTATACATGTGACTGGCATCAGCTGTCTTTGGCCAGCACTAGACTAGAATAATAGATTTTACAAAGATGTCTATTGTTATACTAAGAGTGTGATGTAAAGTTTAGTTATTTCGGAGATTCTCTTAATGGAATACACGATTTTCTTGGCAGTGAGGGGTAGATGAGACATCACATATTTGAACAGTTAGAACTACTATCTTTTCAAAGGTTCTATACCAGAGCTACAGCTTCAAAATGGAGGATCAGGAAAGCATGCGTTTGTCCCTGGTCTTTCCCATTGACCCTAAATCGAAATGAGGACATAGTTACTAAGTGCTTTGTATGCTGCCGCTCTGTTTCTTGTTTTAGAGGGGATCCAAAATATAAGTCAGAGATAAAGGAAGGTGTTTTTTGTTTTTTGTTTTTTTTAGCAGTGAGACCAGTTGAACATTTGAAATTATTTTAAAAGAATAATTTATTTCTCAAGTTGGCAGCTCAGTTCTATATTTTTTAATTGTTCATTTTCTGAATAGTCTTCTGGAATTGAATTTCTGTACTTAATTACATTTATCTTTGACACAATCTTTATACCTTGCTTTGCAGGAAACCAGATGATACAGCTGAATATGCCACTTACCACAGTAAATCAGCCACTTTGGCAGAGCAGAAAAGCTGAATGGATCCCACGACTTGGTTGGCCAGTTCATCCTTTGATTCTATTAAAATCTGTTCATATCCAGTAGTTACTCTCTAGTTTCACTCTCATGAGTGCAACTGCAGCTTACCTAACATTCCATTGTGGCTTGAATGTAGCTTTGATGGTTCTTTGAAACTTGTTATCAATTTGGGTATGAACATATTGCCTGTTTTCCTTTAAATAACACTCAGATTTATTGGACCAGTCGGCACAGCATGCCTGGTTGTATTAAAGTGGGGGAAGTGCTTTATTTTATAAAATTGGCAAAATTAGAGAAATATAGTTCAAAATGAAATTATATTTTCTTTGTAAAGAAAGTGGCTTTGAAATCTTTTTTTGTTCAAAGATTAATGCCAACTCTTAAAATTCATTCTTTCACCAACTGTCGAGTTTATTTTATCTAATGTTCATTATGAAAAGCCTCACAAATCTGTGTATGCTACTTTGGCTCTTGTGCATTAAAAACAAGAAAACTGAAAATTGGGAATATACACAAGCTTGACTTCCTTAACTAAAAATATTATTGGAAAATCCTCTAAAAGTTACTAGCATAAATTCTCAATTTTTAAATGTGTTTGGTGATTTCAAAACTAGAAAGTTGATGTGTGGCTTTTGGTTTCACTTTTTAAAACATCCCTAACTGATCAAATACATCAGGAATTTCGGAATCAGATGCATACTTTCTTAAAAAGTAAGAGGACTCTGACACCCGTAACAGGAATGCCACTTCACAGTGTGGAGTGAACGCTGTGGCCTTGTGATTTTCCCAACGAGAACTCTCTTATGTTGAGTAACCCACTCTGAATTCGGATTACACGTTTCCTTCCTTAAACAGAGGTGTTACTTTAAACATGCCTTCTAAAGAGAATTAAATTCATCAGACAACCTCAATTCGCGTGAGACTCTTAGTCCACTTACATGTCTTGGCTAGTAGAAGTCTCTTACCTATGTATTTGTCTTACCTCATCTCCTAAAAGAAAGAGTACAGAGTAAGCCATGTAGCTCAAGAAGGTAACTTCACTTTGTCTATTTGCTATTGATTGTACCAAAGGATGGAAAGAGTAAATATAGCGGCTGGGTGTGGTGGCTCATGCCTGTAATCCCAGCACTTTGGGGGGCCGAGGCAGGTGGATCACAAGGTCAAGAGATCAAGACCATCCTGGCCAATATGTGAACCCCCTCTCTACTGAAAATACAAAAATTAGCTGGGTGTGGTGGTGGGCACCTGTAATCCCAGCTACTCGGGAGGCTGAGGCAGGAGAATCAGGGAGAACCAGGGAGTTGGAGGTTGCAGTGAGTCAAGATCGTGCCACTGCACTCCAGCCTGGCAACAGAGCAAGACTGTCTTAAAAAAAAAAAAAAAAAAAAAAGGTAAATATAGCTCACATAGCAGATCTTGGCCCTGTGCTGAGTCCCTTAGCCAAGCAGTCTCTTTCAAAGAAGCCAGTGGGCAAAAAGGGACTGCCAGTCCAATTCAAATTACACTGTTAAAACGTATGTCTTGAGGACTGGGCATGGTGGCTCACGCCTCTAATGCCAGCACTCTGGGAGGCTGAGTCAGGTGGATCACAGGGTCAGGAGATCACCATCCTGGCTTACATGGTGAAACCCCATCTCTACCAAAAATACAAAAAATTAGCCAGGCATGGTGGCACCCGCCTGTAGTCCCAGCTACTTGGGAGGCTGAGGCAGGAGAATCACTTGAACCCAGGAGGCGGAGGTTGCAGTGAGCTGAGATCCTGCCACTGCACTCCAGCCTGGGCAACAGAGTGAGACTCCATCTCAAAAAAAAAAAAAAAAAAAAAGTGTGTTTTGAAATTTTATATTTAATTGCACAAATTGGGCCAAAGAAACGTTGCCTTGAGAAAGATATGACTGGAAAATCAGGAGTATAGAAGAATAAATATTTTAATGTCTAAAGACATGTTTATAGTGCCCTGTAATATTCCTTTCCTTTGTAATCTCTGGTGAGATGCTTTAGGAAGATAAGTTTGAGGAGAATAAACAGGAATTCTGAATTAAGCACAGAGTTTAAGTTTATACCCATTTTCTATGCTTTTCAAGAATGTCACAATTGCTTAGAAGCAAAGAATGTTTTTTGTTTTGTTTTGTTTTGTTTTGTTTTTGAGGCGGAGTTTCGCTCTTGTTACCCAGGCTGGAGTGCAATGGCGCAATCTCGGCTCACCGCAACCTCCGCCTCCTGGGTTCAGGCAATTCTCCTGCCTCAGCCTCCTGAGTAGCTGGGATTACAGGCACGCGCCACCATGCCCAGCTAATTTTTTTTATATTTTTAGTAGAGACGGAGTTTCACCATGTTGACCAGGATGGTCTCGATCTCTTGACCTCGTGATCCACCCACCTCGGCCTCCCAAAGTGCTGGGATTACAGGCTTGAGCCACCGCGCCTGGCCAAGAATGTTTTTTTAAACCTAATATTCAATCAACTACTTTCATGTATAAAATAAATATACTCTTATAGCAGTTTGTTTCCTATTTGATTTTTTCAATTTCAATATTTATACTATAGATCTATATTTGTATAAATGTGTGTTTGGTCAAATAATTTGTTACTTAAATCTATGGAGACCAGTTTTCTCTGGAAGTTTGTTTAAGTGACAGGAAGAAGCCTATATGAAGAAAATATTTTAGGCCACAAAAATGTATTTGCTATAAAATGAGAAGTCTCACAGTGGTTCTTTATTGTTCATTTTTGTTTTGAAGATTGACTCTTCAATCTGTCACAGTAAAATTGTACATGTGGAGAAGTTTCATGATGATGTGTTTATTTCTAGTGGGTTTCCTCTCAAATTGAAGTATGTTTCTAGTTGGGGCCCATCTTCTGGCCATTCCTGTCTCACGGCCGTTCCTCCTGTCCCTCCTAGCTCAAACCCTTGAGTATCCCCAGTGTTCTCCACTCGCAGCCCGTCACAGGCACTGCACAGAGGCATCCAGTGACATCACATTACCTACTGGATGAAGTCCACATTGCTTAGCCTGATACTTGAAGACCTTTTACAATTGAATCCCAACTTTCTTCCCCAAGCCTTTTCTTTCTATTGCACTTCTTCAAATAACCTCCTCTCAGTCAAGACTGGCCATTTCCCCTGTGCTTTCTGCTGTATTCCCAGTTCACTGTTGCTTGAAACACCTGTTGTCCTGTTCACATCCTACCCATCTTCCAAGGCCCAGCTCAGATATTACCCTTCATGAAACTGCCTGATTTTTGCCCAGCTTTTATAGTCTTTATTATTACCTAACCTTATGTTAGCCACAATTTAAGCATCTATGTATACATGTCCAGTAGAAGATATATCTTCTGCATCCCATTGAACACATACATAGAGCTAAATAAAAACCCAAGTCCAAACAAAGTATAAAATTTAATGTATGTAACTAGTAGGATTTGGTTGTTTCTGCAAAAATCGTTGCTCTCTCTGCAGACTTGAACTAGGTCAGATTGCTAAATTTCTCAGAGCAAGCTTCAGTGTTTCTCAACCAGGGCTGTATATTGGAATCACCTGGGGAGATTCACAGACACCTGGGTCCCACCCCTAGCCACCCCTAGAGATTCCTAGTGTAATTGATCTGGGATGTGGTTTGGGTATAGGGATTTCTAAGTGTCCTAAATGATTCCAATGTGCAGCTAAGGTTGAAAACCCATGGATTAGTAAATCTCAAGCCCCACAGTCAGTTTTTTTATATAAACTTGTAAAAATGGAAGATAAAGTATATTTATACAAGAAAATTACGGCTTTCTTAATTAAGCCTATTAAATCAGAAAATTTCACCAAAGACTTGAATTAAGGTTTTGTTGTTTGGCTAACAAGGCTATCTGTGGTTTTAAAAACAGAAGCACTGTCTCAAAATAAACACATAAATATAAAAATACAGAAGCAGTTTTTCTCCTTAATACTGGGTCAGCTGGGCATGGTGGCTCATGCCTGTAATCCCAGCACTTGGGGAGGCCAAGGCGGGCAGATCATGAGGTCCGGAGATTGAGACCATCCTGGCTAACACGGTGAAACCCTGTCTCTACTAAAAATACAAAAAATTAGCTGGGCGTGGTGGTATGCACCTGTAGTCCCATATACTTGGGAGACTGAGGCAGGAGAATAATTTGAATGTGGGAGGCAGAGGTTGCAGTGTGCTGAGACAGCTGAGATAGCGCCACTGCACTTCAGCCTGGGCAACAGAGTAAAACTCTTCTCAAAAAAAAAAAAAAAAATTATTGGGTGAAAATTATATTGACTATGAACAGAGCATTTTGGAAAATCTTATGTGACCTTGAAACTAATGTATTTTTTAGATTGGCATAAAATACATGGGGAGAGTTACTTTGTAAAGTAACTAACAACTCTGTAAGAATGCTTGAAGGTACTTGAAATTAGAAGTAATATGAATTTGTGGTGTTAAAGTGGATTTAAGGGTTTGTGGGAAATAGGCCACTCTGGTATTCTAAAACTTAGTAATGTCTTTCAGCTAACATTTTAACCAAGGAGCTTTTCTGCATATTTTTAAATTTTGCATACTCGTACTCGAGTAGGATTTAACGCGGAGTCTAATAACTTCCAGAAATGATTCAAAATTGAGCGATCTTACGTACGGATTTTTTTTTTTTCCTGGACTACACTGTTTTCATCAAAATTTCTAGGCTCAGAAAAGATTACACCAATATGATGACTAATCCTTCGTAAATTGGAGCACTGCTGCCCTCCTGTGGACTGTTAGGGCATTTGACAATCCCTTCCTTACCAGCTCAAACTGAGTCACTATTCAGAAGTTTCAGTCATTGCTGTGATTCCCAGAAGACATTTTAAATTTAATTTGCGATCTGGTATAAGACTAACCCTCTTCTGCTTCTTCTGTGAGATCGGTGTTTTTTGTTTGACACAGGATCTCCTGTCACCCAGGCTGGGGCTCAGTGGTACGATCACAGCTCACTGCAGCCTCAACGTCCTGGGTTCAAGGAATCCTCGCAGCTTAGCTTCTCCAGCAGCTGGGAGTACAGGTGTGCGCCACCATGCCTGAATAATTTTTGTATTTTTCTGTAGAGACAGGCTTTCTCATGTTGCCCAAGCTAACCTCGAACTCCTGGCCTTAAGCAATCCACCTGCCTCAGTGTTCCAAATTACTGGGGTTACAGGCATGAGCCACTGTGCCAAGATTAACATTTTTAAAAGGGTTTTAAATGCTGTCCCTTATTGCTTTAAATATTGGAGAAGTATAATATTGTGGATCTGTGGTCAATAAACAATTTTTTCCTTCCTTCTCACATACCAGCAAAATGTGAACAAATTGCAACAAGTACAGATAACATT